ACCCCAACCCCAACCCCAACCCCAACCCCAACCCCAACCCCAACCCCAACCCCAACCCCAACCCCAACCCCAACCCCAACCCCAACCCCAAATACAACTTTAATTTCATATAGCTATTCATGTTATACATATAAATAAAAATTAAAATTATATTATTTTAAAACATTTGAACTAATTTTATATTTATATTTAAAACTATATACTTATTAACACTTTAATTTATTTAATTAAATAAAAAAAATAATTTAAAAATTTAAAACTAAAAAATAATAATTTAATATTATTTTTTATTCGTATTTAAATTTTTTTATAAACATATTAATTAATTAAAATAATTAAAAAATATTATTTTATTTATTATATAAATTAATTTTTATAAAAAATACATTATAATAATAATAATAATATTTAAATGTTATAATATTATAATGTTATATATATATATATATATATATATATATATATAATTTAATTATTTAAAAATTTTTTTACACATTTATCTTATTATTTTAAATTATTTATTATTTAAAATTTAATTTATTTAAATTTAAATTTTTTACTAAAATGTTATATGTTTTATCAAAACCATATTCATTCCAATACTTAACTATTTTTAATTTTTAATTGATTTATGACAGATAAATTTTTTAATTTAAAAAAAAATTCTATTTTAAATATTTTTTTTTTACATATAATTAATATTTATTTCATTTTTTTATCTTTAATAAATATTTTTATATAATTATTCTTTAAAAAAAAATATATATTTTCTATTTTTTTTATTATAATATAAACTAATATCTTAATTAAAAAATTATTTATAAAGATAAAATTAAGCAAATAAAAAATAAATTTTTTAATCAATATTTATAATCATTATTTTTATAAGGGCCATTAACATCAATATTAATATAGCTAGCCTATTCTTTAGTAAGAACAGTAAGTTCAGCCCCAAGAGCTCCTAAATGTAATTTAGCAACTTTTTCGTCTAATTCTTTAGGTAATTTATATACATCATTAACATATTTACCAATATTTTTATTAGTCCATAATTCGATTTAAGCCAAAACTTAATTAGTGAAAGAGGTAGACATAACAAAAGAAGGATGTCCAGTAGCGCAACCTAAATTAAGTAATCTTCCTTATGCAAGAACTATAACTCCATGTCCATCAGGGAAAACAAATCTATCAACCTAAGATTTAATTTCAATTTTTTTAATTCCAGGCCAATTAATTAATCCATTATAATCTATTTCATTATCAAAATGTCCAATATTTCCTACAATGGCATTATTTTTCATTTAAGCCATATGCTCAGCCATAATAATTCCCTTATTTCCAGTAGCAGTAATAAAGATATCTGCATCTTTCAAAATTGATTCTAATTTAACAACTTAAAGACCTTTCATACAAGCCTAAAGTGCACAAATAGGATCAATTTCAGTCACATAAACTCTAGCTCCACATCCAACCATGGCTTCTGCGGATCCTTTACCGACATCTCCATATCCACATATGACGACTTTTTTTCCTGCAATCATGACATCAGTAGCTCTGAAAATACCATCTGGTAAAGAGTGTCTGCATCCATATACGTTGTCGAATTTCGATTTTGTGACGGAATCATTTACGTTTATGGCAGGGAAGGGGAGTTCTCCTTTTTTTGCAATTTAATAAAGACGGTGAACACCGGTTGTAGTTTCTTCAGAAACTCCATAGAAGTCCTTTAAGTAACGTCTCCATCTAGTAGGATCTTCGGGGATTGTTTTTCTTAATACTTCGAATAAACATTACTCGTCTTCAGTCTCGTAACGAGCAGGGTCTGGTAATTATTTACTTTCTTCGTATATCTTCTCCCATTTTGCACCTTACAAGATCATCATTGTGGCATCTCCACCATCATCTACTAATATATTAGGACCTAATCCATCAGGGAAATTCAATGTGTTGAAAGTTAATTACCAATATTCTTATAAAGATTCACCCTTCCAGGCAAATACTTTAGCAGATCCGACTTTAGCAATAGCAGCGGCAGCGTGGTCTTAAGTAGAGTATATATTGCATGAACACCATCTCACTTCGGCACCTAATTTTTATAAAGTTTCGATTAAAACTGCGGTTTGGATTGTCATATGGAGAGAACCTGAAATACGAGCTCCTTTCAAAGGCTATTAAGGACCAAATTCGGTACGGCAAGCCATTAAACCGGGCATTTCAACTTCGGCGATTTCGATTTCTTTTCTTCCAAATTCGTGTAAAGAAATATCTTTGATTTTACTTCCGTTTATTTCCATTTTTTTTTTTTATATATTTTTTTTTTATTTATTTTTAATTATTTTCTTTATTAGTTTTTTTGTATTTTAAATTGAAAATAATCTATATTAATTTTAATTTTTTTATTTATGTTTATATATTTATATTTATTTTAGTCATTTTTCGTTTTTTTTTAAACGTGGATATAAATCTAATATTTTTAATTAATTAATTATTGTTTTTTCGATACTTTTCTTAATAATAAGCAATTGTCTTATAGAATATTCTTTTTTTATAAGGAAAAAATAATAATTGTTTAATGCGTATTAAATTAATTAATATTTAAAACTTAAATATTAATAATAATAAGGATAATAATCATAATAACAACAAATATAATATTTTATTTACATAAATATATATATATAAAAAAAATATCTTAAAATAAAAATAATTAATTAATATATTTTTTTATATATATTATAAAATAAAATAAATTAAATTATAAATTTATTTATTTCTATCAAAAAAATAAAAATTTAAAAAGTCAAATATAATATACGATTATTAATAAAATATCAATATATATTTAATATAAAATAAATATGGATAATCATTTATTTTTCAGTGTAAAAGATAACAAAAAAAAAACACTGGAAAAGCTTTCTTAACAAAAGCACCAAAAACAACAATAAAAACTTCAAAATCAATCCGCTTTATAAATCCAAGCATTATTAAAATACAATTTTTTATTAAAAATCAAAAAATAAAAAATCCAAAAATAGCTTAATTCTCGTCTAAATGATCTCTAAATAGTATTAAATTCCAAACCTGATCTAGTTTTGCCAGAAAAAATACTACTAAATTTTATAAATGACTTTATTTTTTTAACATATAAAATGCAAATAATCAAAAAAGAAAATGTATTAATAGAATATTTCCAAATTTTGGAAAAAATGGCTTTTTGGATAATAAAATCTATAAAAAACATGGATATTAATTTTTTCAAAAAACCTTATATTACTTTCCTTATAAAAATTTTACATAGTTTTTCTTTTAAAAAAGCCTATATATGGCCCTTAAACATATAAAATTTAATTTCTTAAATTTTCTTAATCGACTATAAAAACAAGCAAGAAGAAACATAAACAGTAGAAACATTAAAAATTATTTAAAATATTTATAAAAACGAAAAGTTTTTTGAAATTTTAAATTTTCAATTAAAACATTATTAAAATTTAGAATTATTAGAAACTGCTTTTTTCCCTTTTAAACTTTTTTATACACTCCAGTTTTCTTAAATTAATAAAAACTAAAGTCTTTATGATAATGTTCTTAATTTTCAAAGCGATTTTCTCATATATATACTTTCTATTTCTAATATAGTTGATTAGCTAATAGTTTTAGAATAAAAAATACAAATATAATATCCATAAATTAATTTTAAGAATATATATTAGACATTTATATATTTAAATATACCAAATCCTTTAGAAATAGAAGGTGAAAAGATATTTATATAAAAATTTAATAATTAAAAATAAGAATTTGAGTATATTTTAGAAAATTCAATACTAATATTATCTGAATGTATAAAATAAAATAAAGTAAAGGACCATTTTGCATTATTAAAATTAATTTCTTATTCCATGAATTTCACAGATAACGAATTTTTAGAAAAACCTATAATACAAATCTTATTTGAGAAAGAATTTGTTTAAAATTTATTTATAAATATTCTTGATTTGAATATTACAGATAAATTAAAAGAAAATACAAACCCTGAATTAATATCAGTAGTATGCGAAATCTACATAAAGTTAATAAAAAAAAGCTTCCAAAATAAAAAATTTAAACCTCTTTTAATAATTGCTTCTTTTGCTTTTAACGACAAAATATTAAGAAAAATATATAATAATATTTATTTTTTTTCATATAAAATTGAAATAGTTTCTATTTTTGTTCTTTCTTTCTAAAATTAGCTATCTATCCTAGATTGGTAGGATTTTTTTTCTAACAGAGCGACTTTTACTATTCAAGAAGTGGCCTAATTAGTTAACTTTTTGATAAATTTAATCTATTAAATATACACAGATACCAATCCGAACCCCAATAACAGTTTTTTCCTTTAATAAGCTTCTCGTCTTTTAAAAATACTACGAGAATTCAACTAAAGGCAGTCTTTTTTAATCGATAAATAATGGCTTTTATCTTCCCAAATATTATCAAAAATATCTTCTTGTGAAAATTTTCAACTGATAAAGTTAATTCCATTTTCTTTTCCTTTTGAAACCCGTGTATAAATATTCAAGAATCTAATCGAGAAAATACATCATAAAGAGACATGTATAAAAATCCTCATAAGAAGAGATTATTTATTCGATGATAGTTTTTAAGCTTTTTAAGAAATATCAAAAATTGATTTAAAAACAAATCTTAAAGTATATTATATAGACTAATTTGGCCATTAAGAAACCGGAATAGATGCCGGTGGAATATTAAAAGAATTCATAAATGATATTACAAAAATAGTCTTTGATCCAAGTTATGGTATGTTTACTCTCCATTAAAATTACCAAAACCTATATCCTAATGAAAAATCATTCTAGTTTTTGGGATATTAGCATTTAGAAATTTTCATGTTTATCGGAATTTTAGTCGGAAGAGCTTTATTTGACGGAATATTAATAAATCCAATCTTTTCTCTCTTTTTTTTAAGGCTTATGATTGGTAAAAATAACTCTTTAGTATAATTGGAATAATTCGATTAAGATTTATATAAAAACTTGAAGTTCTTGAAAAATTTTGAAGGAAACATTGAAGATTTAACCATTACATTTACCATAAGTGACTCAGACCAAAAAGAAATAGAACTTATTTAAAATGGAAGGAATATTAAAGTCAATAACGAAAATAAATTTAAATATATATATCTTGTAGCAGATTACAAAATGAACAAATGCATCAAAGAACAGTCTAAGGCATTTTTAAGAGGTCTTAACAGGACTATTCCAGCTGAATGGCTTTAGATGTTTGACGAGTAAGAAATGCAAATATTGATTTCTGGAGAATAAAATTCTCTTGACTTGAAAAATTTATAATAAAATACTAAATATGAAGGATATAAAAAGAATGATTCGTATATAAAAAGTTTTTGGTAATACATAGAAAGCTTTAGTAGTAATAATAAAATTATTTTTCTTAAATTTGTCACTTCGTGCGAAAGATAACCACTTTTTGGCTTTTAAAATTTAAATCCACCGTTTTTAATTTCCAAAGTAGATAGCGAAAACGATTCGAAATTACCCTCGGCCAATACTTGTTTTAATAAATTTAATTTACCTAAGTATTCTTCTCTGTAAATTCTTAAGGAAAAACTAAATTTAGCACTTTAAAATGGTGTTGGATTTTATTTGACTTGATATTTTATTAAAACTAATTTTCTATTATATTTATTTATTTAATTAAACAATATTAAAAGTTTATAATAAGTTATTAATGTAGTACAAAATTTATATTATTATAGGTTTTTATATTTATTTTATACAAATAAATTATTATTTTTTTTTTTGAATTTTTACTGTATTTTTTTTAAATATCTTATTCAAAAGAAAGGAAATAATCCATTTTTTCTATCCTTTTATTTTTCAATTGATTTTTTTAAAAAATGTAAAAGGATTCTTTTGAAAATTACTTTTTCTATGTTTTTTGTTTAAAATGTAATTTGATTATGGTCTTTTTTTGATTGAGTTTGAGTTTTTTTTTAAAATAAAAAATATTCTAAAAAGTAATACTTATATTTTTATATTGAATTTCTATTTAGAAAATAAATATATATATTTATTTGATAAATTATTTTATAGTTTTTTAATTTTATTTTGTCTAATTTCTTTCTTAAAAATTATTATTATTCATTTCAAATTTATTTCACTAGAATTTTATTTGGCTTATTTTTTAGTTTAAAATTATTATATTGATTTATTTTTTTATAATAAAAATATACATATATTTATTTAAATATTATTTTTAGATTTCTTTAAAAAATAAATAAAATTAATTTAATAAAATAAAATAATATGTGAATTTATAAATATTAAATTAATCAAATTTTTATGTTTTTATCTTCACTAATATCTTAAAGCTTTTAAATTTCTTCTTTGAATATTAATCTAAAATATTCTAAATTTTCTTTGCTTTTTTGATCTTCATATAGAAAAAAATCTATATTTTTATATTTATATATATATATATATATTATATTCATATTTTTTTTTCTTTTTTTCTGTAATTAAGTTTTTTTAAAAAATAAACAAAAATAATAAAACAAATATTAATAAATAATATAAATAAAAACTTGGCATTTTAAATAATCATTACCTTATCTTTTATTACTTTTTTATTATTAAATTTTTTATATAAGATTTCTTTTATCATCTTAATATTTTTAAATGGTGTTATTTTACTTTAATAATAATAAAAAAAAATTAAAGATATTATTAAAATTTTTCAATTATCTTTTTTACTAAATCTTAATTTTCTGAAGTAATTATATTTTATTTTAAATTTATTCTTTTTTTGGCGCCTCCAAACCAGTTCATTTTCTTATATATAATTTTATATAAAAATATTATTATTATATATATAATTATTTTATATTATAATAATTTCATTGCTATATAAATAAAAAACTCACCAGACAATTTTTTGATAATATTTTATAAAATAGCTGATATAATTAATATAATAACGATATTTAATTATTATATTGTAGACATAAATTTAAATATATAGAAAAATATTTATTTTTAATCTAGTAATTATAGTATTTTAGCTTTTTTAATATTTACTTTACATTAAAAAAATTATATATAATACTTATGAAAAATAATTAGTGTATAAAATATTCTAAATTAATTATAATTATAATTTATTTAATAAATAATCTATAAATTTAATATTAAATCTTATAGTAAATAAAAATATATTATCTAATAATATAAATCAAATACGAGATAAAATTTATTTAATAATTTTAGAAATTTATCTTTTAATACTAATAATATATTTCACATCTAATTAGAGAATATTAAATAAACACATTCAAAATTATATTAAAAGAAAAATTAAATAACTGATGATAAATATAATAAATAGTTAGATTTCCTGTAATAAATTATTAATGAAATAAGTATTATAAAAATATGAGAAAAAAAAATTCAATATATTTTGTAATTGTATTTAGAAATAATTGAAAAGTTTAACTTTAGATTTAATTTTAATATATTAAAAAAGCTAAAGTATATATGAAAAAATCAGAAGTGAAAATTTATTTTGAATTATAAAAGTTAAAAAATAAAAATAATATTCCCGATATATGGATAAAAATTATTTAAAATAAGAATAATTAAATTATGCTTTTGAAGAATTATTATTTGAAATGTAATAATATAAAAATTAAGTCGAACTAATTAAAAATAAATAGTAAACATTAAATACTTTAAATAAAATTTAAAACATCGTAGTAAAACTTATTAATAGTATTTTAAAAGAAAAAAAGGAATAATGATAAATATTTAAGCAATTAAAAAAATAAATATTGGAGTCTATCATATTATTATATTATTAAATGCATATTAAAATAAGTTTAAAAGAAAAAAAAAAAAAGATTTAAATTAGTCTCTGATTTCTAAAGAAAATAAATAGACTTGGTTTATTCGAAAATTTATTTAATTATGCTTATTAAAAGTTTTTAAATAAAACAGATTAATTTATTTATAATTTTTATTAGATAAAAGTTCTTAATATAAAATATTGCAAATTATATCTTAAATTATTTTGATATCAGTTTTATTTAAATTATCTGTCTAAACTAAATTAAATTTTATAATTTTTTTCTCATATAATTATATTGTAAAAAATAATTAATTTATTACATCTAGTATCAATTAGAAACATAAAAAATAAAAAAATTATATAAAATATAATATAAAAAAAATCATATTTTATAAAAATTTTACCGTTTTAAATAAAAAATTAAATAATATAAATAATAAAATAAGATTAAATATAAAAAAAGCTATATAGTCTTAAAAAAATTAAAAATAAAAATAATAAAAATAATAATAATAATAATAATAAAAATAATAATAATAAAATAATAATAATATTTTTTTATTTAAATAATTATGCAAAATTTTACATTCATTAATAATGTAAATATTCAAATTATTTTTTAGCATCAATTACTTATATTTATTTAGTTTTTTACTGAAAATGATTGAATATATGATATAGATTTAATAGTTTTTTAACTAAATGCAGACACAAATTTATATTAAAATGTTATAAGAAAAAAATTATATTTCTATATAGAAATTGATATATTGTGTTATTTTAACCAAATATTATTTAGAAATTTTACATAATTTTTTTTATATATTATATATATTTTAATTTTTAAAAGTTATTATAATAATATAAAAAAATAATGCAATATAAAAAGTTTTTAAATAAAAATGAAAATCCATTAATTTTACTAACTATCAATCGATTTTTAATTCTTTAAACATGACTGTATAATTTACTCATACATATACTTAAAAATAATAAAAATAAATATTTTTTTTTTAAAAAAAGTTAAACAATAACTTTAAAAAAATGTAATTTATAATATATATATATAATTCATTTTTCTGTTAATGCCCTAAATCCCTACCAATCTTAAGGAGCTTGCATATTATGATATTATATAACTTCTATTAAAGTATTTGAAGGGCCATCTATATAATTAACATGTATTAACATATCTAATGTTTTTTAAAAAGCATAATAAGCAGTTTTCCAATTTCCTTCTAAATAATTTTAAAATCCATAATTCCATTCTTTATAAAAATCCTTTAAAGTAATAAATATAATTATAAAATTAATATATATTTCTTATATGATACACAATTTAAAAATAAATAAATATATTACTTCAGTAAAAAATTCTCTCATAGCAATTAATTCTTTATTATTTTTGAATCTATCTGAAATATGAACTTTTAAAGAAATTATATCTTCTTTTAATTTATTTCTTAGAAGTCTTTATTAAACTCTATGTTTTTTCTTTTATATTTCATTTACAAATTTGTCTTGATTTTAAAACATATCCCTTCCTACATTTTTGTCAATAATATTTTATAAATTAACATCAACTGTATATAAGTTCATTGGTATTAAAGATCCTTTGACTAAAACTCTATCTATATGTCTACATTATTTCTAACATTTAGGTGTTAATATTTCATATAGTTTTCCACTTTTTTTTAAAAAAAAAATAATAATCGTTCTTTTATATATAAAATTTTAATTACCTTATTAATAAATTTGTACCAAATTATTTTGTTGCAGCTTCTAGTCTAGCGGACATATTTACATTAGGGCTTAAATAAGAAGCATCAATTTTGTAATTAGAACCTATAGCACCCTATAATTTATTTAAACAAAAAAAACTAAAAAATTTTAAAAAAATTTACTTCAATAGCCCATCCAACATGTAAACCGAATCCCATTTTAACTTTGAAGTTAGGCAATCTTTAATTAAGTTTAGCATTAAGTTAGTATTTTTAAAGTTTTTTAGACAACGTAATTTAAGCCATAATATTAAGAAAAGCATGAATAGGTAAATCAGCTAATTCTGAAATTCTTTTTTCTTTTTTAAGTTCTAATTAATTATATACATTAAAAAAATAGTCATTTTCTTAAAACTTCCAAACTAATAAAAATGAATCGCCTATATTTTTATTAGCTTAACCTAAATATTAATCTACTATAGCATGTGCTATTTCAGCAATTTCATTTACAAAAACCATTACTCCAGTTTAGAGTACTTCTGTTGCATCAGTAAAGTTTCTAATGTCACAAAATCCAAATATTGCCATAATTTTTTTTCCTGGAATTAATGGATCTACCTCCCCACCTTTTTTCATATTCTAAGCAATAATCTAAGACCCCGCTTCTCCGAATCCAATGGCCAAAAGAGCTCCGATTTTAATGATTAATTTCTCCAAAATAGTCGTTTCATACTTCTCTAATTCTTTCAATCTAGCTATTTCTTAAATATTCCCATCCTTTACCAACTATTCAAATGCAAGAGCTTCTCTTTCTTCCATTTAAGCTGCTTCTAAAGGATTTTCAGCTATTCTTTTAACTTTTTTGATCATATTATTAATCGGAATAAGTATCAAGTTTTCAGCATCTCTAGTGAAAAAAATAGCCCCAGAAGTCAATATTAAAGATATAAAAATAGTTCTCACAATTGATAAAATAGCATTCAATTGAACATCTCTCCTTTCGTCTATTATTGAATATCCAATTATTTTTCCTCCTATTTTTAATTCGATGGTAAATTTCTCCTCGCTTCTTAATGTATCTGCAGATACTAAATCGTCTGGGAAATATGAATTTGGATAATGTGAACAGCATTAATTTGTTGTTTCTTTTAAAACTATTTCTATTAATTATTTTCGTTAATTTTTATGAAAATCTATATACATTTTCATATTAGCTATCATTATAGGAGTTTCAACTTCAGCTTAAAATCTAAAAATATATATAAATATAAAAATATATATAAATATATAGATATAAAAATATGAAAAAAAAAAAATGCATATATATATATAAATATATATATAAAAGTATATATATAAAAATAAATACATATATATATATATGTATGTATGTATGTATGTATATATATTAAAATAAAAATATATAAAAATAAATACATATATATATATATGTATGTATGTATGTATGTATATATATTAAAATAAAAATATATAAAAATATTTATATATTTATATATATATATTTATATATATTTATATACATATATATATATATATATATATATTATTATTTTTTTACGCATAAATTGGACTTAGTCCATTGCCATATGTTGTTACTGATTCAATATAAGTATTATAATCAAATAAAGGAACACTAATCATAATACTTAATACTAAAACAATTACTCTTTATGTTGTCAAATCTGATAATCTTTATCCTACTTTAGATTCTACAATTACTAAATTCTTTGTATATATTTGTTTATATTATATATATATTTTTTTTTTTTTTTACATCATCTTTACTTGTTAAATTTATTTTTTATTAACTTGATTTAACTAGATTTGCATTTTTTACCGTATCTTATTGAAAATGTTTAGTATTTAATAAAGCCTATTAATTTTCTTATTATTATTATTATACTTAATTTTAATTATGAAAAGAATGATTGCCAGCAACATTCTTAATCGTATTAAAATGCGATATTTTTTTAACAGCATGATTAATAACATATTTCGGAACAAAATCTTTATTATTTTAATTTTAAAGTTCTTTTTCATTTTGATTCTGATTAAATTCTAAAAAAAATTTAATATATAAAAAACATATTTATATATATATGACTATAAAAATTTTACTTTCTTAAGGACTTGGTTATAAAGGTATATTTTATGAAATAAATCCATATTTATCAATTTAATTTGAATTATTTTACTATTAATTTTCAATATCTACAAAATTATTTTACTATAACTTATTTACTTTTAAACTTGCATTATATGAACTTTCACATTATTTATTTTCTTCGTTTTTCTTAATACTTTGACTATTATTATGATCTTTACTATTATTTTTATTAACAGCGAAACTAGAACTTATTTTTTTAGAATTAGCCCTTATTCTATGTCCACTAGTTATTTATCTACTAATAACACGGGATCTTTATTTATGTCTAGGAGTATTCATATTACTATAAATACACATTTCTTCAAACTATTATTCCCTCAAAAGATTTTTTTCTTATTCCTATAATAACTACTAAGCCCTTTTATATAATTTAATAAGCCTAACCAAACGAACTATACGTACGATTCTTCCTGTTCTAGTACCTACCCTAGAAGCTCTACCTGCTCTAAATATATATATTTTTTTTTTTTTTATAAAAATATATATTTAAATTTTTACTTTTATAATTATTAACTAGATGAGTTTTTAGCAGGTTTAGTAGTATCGAATAGATGCTCAGTAACCCATCCTATATCTAATAAAAGTGAAATAGTAGAAACAATATCTAAATAAAAGAAAAACCCGTTAAAATATCCTGGATTTACTAATGACGCGAGTATAATTTCTAATCCAAAAAGAATCAAAACAACTATATTTATAGTCCAAAAAATCGGGTCACCATTTTTGTCTGTTACTAAAACACGTGTATCATCTCCAAATAAAGCATAAATAGTTATTGTTGTCATTATTGTATTTGATATTTTATTATTTAGTATTATGTCTAATATATATAATATTTTATCCCAAAAACCAAATTTAGAAAATGTAAGACAAAGTTCGGCCTAATCAGGAGTTTAATGTTTTTAATTATTTTATTATGGGCTATAGTTTGGTTGGCTTAATTATATTCTTTTTTGATAACTATCAAATATATGATCTTTTTTCATTAAAGATGAATTTCTACTTCGGTTATTTGCCTTTTGTATCTTTTTTATTTGCAAATTGTTTATTAGGTTATCACTTTATTATTGCATTTTTTTTGTTTTATTAATTTTTTTTTTTAATAATTCTTTGTTTTTTTTTTATTAAAGAATTTTTTTTTTTTTTTTAACCATATAAAAATAAAATTTATATATAATTTCATATGTAAATAAAATAAAACTATTTTAAAATCAAAATTTAATATTTCATTATAATCAATTTTTTACATAAAACAATTTTTAATAAAAAAAAAAAAAAAATATTTAAATAAATAAATATTGAATTACTCAAACTTAATTACCAATAACATTTTTGATTTTATCAAATCTATTACTTATTCCATCTTTCCCAATTTTATAACTTAGTGAATATTTATTATCACTTTATTAATATTTACTTAAATAAGTTTCAAATAATTGAATTTCATTTAAATTCAATTTAGATCTCACTTCATCGCTTTAAATATTAAACTTAATTTTATTTTCTTACTTCAACAAATTTTTATTTTTTAAAAAATTTTCATTATTTTACAATAAATACATATTAAAAATCTACACTGTCTCAAATATTTTACACTATAATTCATAAGTCAGAACACTCTAACATAATTCTTAAATTATACTATTTTATTAAAAGCAATTCTTTTATTCCAAAATACTCATTAATTAATAAGCTATAACTAAAATATAAATATATTAAAACTCGTCCATATTTACTTAATTCCCCTCTTAAATTAACCTACACATAAAACTCAAAACACAATCATTAAATTCTTAATTCGAACTTTAAATACTCAATACTTAATTCAAAATACAAACTACGCTCTAGCTTAAAACAATAATTTCCAAAATATCATTTTCCTATACATCTTTATTCTAATCCAAAATACATTAACCCAAAGCATATAAAATATGAGATATGATATGAATACTTAACATTTTGGAGTCATTTTATTTAAATTAAACTAACAAAATTTCAGTCAAAATCGAAAAAGCCTATATCCTTAATTCCTTAATATTACATACAAAGACTAGATTTATAACAATTTCATTTAAATTTTAACATTCGAACTTATTACTTTTTTACAAAAAAACTTTTATTAAATTCAAACCTTGGTTAATATATTCAAACGAACGATTTTCTTATAAAATTTATTCTTCAGAAGAGTCGCATAAAGAATTAATTAAAAAATTCAAAAAAGTACATGTTTCAGTATTTCCTTTGTTGTTAATTATTTATATTAATTGGGAAAAATATTATGAAATTAAATCTTGTTTTTATTAACTTTGAAATTTATAGAAGCCAAATAAATAAGATTTTGATAAAATTTAAAATTCATGTTATTCCTGTTCATACTCGAATAAAGAATTTAATATAGGAAAAACATTAATTTTTAAATTTAAATTTTGAAAGATTTATTCTTCGTCAATTAAATATTTATAAATAGATTTAAAAAAAGAAGAAATTAAATTGTTTTTTTATTTTTAATCCTAAACTTAGTTTAACATATTTTCTAAAATTTCTAGTACATTTAAATATTGACTCCATTAACAAGAGTGAAAAAAAGATAGAGTCTTTTAACAAAAAAAAAGGATTTAATTCGAAATAAAAGAACATTTTAAATAAGAATTTATGATTATAAGTTATTATTATTTCCTTTACTATAATTAATTTTTATTAATGAAAATAATATATTCAAAAATAGCATTTGAAAAATCATAATTATTATTTAATTTTTCAATAGATTTTATTTTATTAAAAATATTAATGTAATTATTTTAAACCTTTTCAAAAAACTATATATCATCTTCTTATTACATTTATTTATTCTTTATGTATTTTATTTATATTTATTCTAATAAAATAAGAAATTCATATACTTGTTCCCCTCCAAAAAAATAATTATTTGGCATAAAAAAAAAAATCTATCTAAAATATTTATTACTTTATTTTTATTTTCTTTGTAAATATTTTAAAAGGCATTAAAATTTTCATCCAGAAAGAACAAAAAAATCTCGAAAATCTCATTTTCAATTTATTTATTTAAAAAGTTAATTTTTTTTTGTAAATTTTCATTTTCTTAATTTTATTTATTTATTAAAAAACTATCTATATATTTTTCCAATATAATTATAGTAATGTTTTCAATTTAATAATCTGTATTATAAAATAAAAGCTAATTTTTCACATATTTTATTGTTTCTTCAATTTATTATTAATTTCCTTATATTTATTCAAGATATTGGTCTATTTGTATAATTATTTATTTATCGTTTTAAATATTGATATCATTTTTTAAAAAATTATGATATGATTTTTAAGCTTATTCTATATCATTCTTTTATATAGGCTTTTTTTATATTTACGATATGCTTTTTTAAGGAAAGTTTTAAACTTGGAGTTATGCGTATATTAATTAAAGAAAATTATTTTAAGTGTTTTATTAAAGTTATTACTTTTTTACACAACAACCCATTTTAATAATTAAATAATATATTTTTATTTAAAATAAAAATAGTAAATAATTTTTATATTTCTTTTTAAATATAATATTAATATTTTATTTATATTTTTTTAATTATATAATTTTAATAATAAAAAAATTAAAAAAATAATAAATATGTATCAAATTAAATTTAAATACTAATATAAATTTAGTTTGTTTTTAATATTATATATTATATAATAAAAGAAAATAAACTAATGTACAAAAGAAAATAATTAAACTTAGATTTAATATATTATTTTTTTATAATTTATTTAATATATATGTAATATTCAAAAAATAATTTATTAATATTATATTTATAAAATATTCATAATTTTTTACAATTGTTTATTAATAAAAAAGAGATATAAAATAAAAGGAATAATTTTTATATTTTCAAAAAATTATAGAGAAAAAATAATATAATTATTTAATATAGATATGAATATATTTTATAATTATTAGATTTTTTTATAAATTTGTCTTTTCTATTATTAATTTTAAAAAGCCTTTATAATAAATTTATTTTATTAATATGTATATAATTTGTTAATAATTATTTTTTATAAGAATTTAAAATTAATCTAATAAAAAATTATTAATACTTAAATTTTATTTATTTAAATATTTTTTATAAAGTGGCGGCAATAATTTTGTTAAAGAAAATAAAAAAATTATCATTTATTTAAATTTAAAAGTTTTTTATATTTAATTAATTATACATTTTTTACGTCAAAATAAAACACTTAAATCAAAATTAATTAAAAATGTAAATAATATAAATCTAATTATATAACTAATATAATTATTTTTATATTAATATAAATAAAGTATTTAAAAATGTATTCTTATATTGATAATCATTTTTATTTATTTTATTATTTTTATTAAGCAAATATAAAAAAACTATCGAAATATAAAAAATGAATGGTAAATTCTAATAATTTTTTATTTATATATTATTATAATTTATTAATATAATATAAAAATTAAATTGACAAATAAAATTTATTCATTAAATTTTATTTTTTAAAAATTTAACAATTTTACTATTATAAAAAAGAAAAAAGAAAAATAATTTCTGATTATTATAAAATTATTTAAAAATTAATTTTTTTTATAAAAAAAAAATTAATAAAAGAATTAAATATTATAAATTCTATTGAAATAAACTTTAATAATATATATATATAAATATTATTTATATATACTTGTTTTTTAAATAATATTAATATTTAAAAATATTTTTTTTACAAATAAAATATTTAATTTATTAAGATCTTAATATATAAAAATATATTAAAACAAATATTTAAATATTAAATCTATAATAAAAATTAACATAATATATGATTTTTTTTAAATAAAAAAATAATATAATTTTATTTCATTCTATTATTAAATAATTTTTATTTTATAATTTTATAAAAAAAAAAAAATAAAGAAAAAAATAAAGAAAAAAATAAAAAAAATATGACCGATAAAAGTTTTTGGACAAAAGTAAATAAAGGAGCTTCTCTTCCGAACGAACCTGTATTAGTCGAAGGCTATTTTTCTAAAAAAGGTAACTATACAAATGGAAGGCGATATTTTAGAGTTTACAATTCATTACTATATTATTTTGACGTAAATATATATATAAAAATATATATAAATATATAAAAATATATATATATATATATATATATATATATTTATACATATAAATATAGGAAAAACACACAGATGTTGCTAAAGGATATTGTGTTATAGATTTCGATTTACATTTTGAAATAATAAGATCAAAAGAGAAAAAAGAAGGATAAAATTTAGGTCAAGCAAAAGGGATTATTTTAGATAAAGCAAATTTAAAAACTGAGTTGTCTACAAATGATGAATCTTTAATACTTAAATGGAGAGATGTTTTAAGAGAAAAAATAAACTAGAGAGGTTTTCATGAATAATATAAAGCAATTAAAAAGATTGGAAAAGGAAACTTTGCAAGTGTAAAATAAATTTATTTAAAATAATGATTTAAATTTAATATAAAAGGTATATTTGGCAGAAAGAATTGAAGATAATAAATCTTTTGCTGTAAAAGCTTTCGCAAAAGAAGCTGCATATTCATAAGAAAATGGAAAAGTAATAATAATATTTTTTTTAAATAAAGTGAAAAATTCTTATAAGATAAGAATAAGAAAAATGCATAAAAACATTGCATTTTTAATAATTAAAAATATATAAATAAATATTAATATAAATATATATATATATAATATATATATATATATATATATATTTATTTTTATATTTATATTATAGGAAGCTTTAATAAATGAAATAGAATTAATGAGAAGTTTAAATCACCCTAATGTAATAAGACTACATGAAGTATATGAAACCGAAAATTCTTTATATTTAATTCTTGATTTATTAGAAGGTGGTTAATTATATGATAAAATGAAAGCAAAATATAAGTATTATTTTTTTTTAAAAAAAAAAAATTATAATTTTAGATTTTCTATAGATGATACTAGATATATGATAAAAGGATTATTAGAAGGATTAGCTGATATGCATAGTAAAAACATAATGCATAGAGATTTAAAACCAGAAAACTTAATTTTTAAAAATAATCATTCTTTAGATATAGTTATTGCAGATTTGGGATTAGGAACAAGAACTGACGTAACTAAATTCATGTTTGTTAGATGCGGAACACCTGGATTTGTTGCTCCTGAAGTTATAAATATAATTGATTTTGATTTAAAATATGATTCTATATGTGATATATTTTCTTTAGGTCTTATTTTCCATTTATTGTATATAATAATAAAATAATATTTTATTTATAATAAAAATATTTTTAAAAATAAAAAAAAGACTTATAGGTAAATCACCTTTTAATGGAAAAACATATGAAGAAATACTAGCTTAAAATCGTGCCTCTAATATTACTTTTGAAGGGGCTGAATATTTAAAATTGCCATTATAAGGTATATAAAAAATTTATATATATATAAAAATATAAATATATATATAAATATATATATATATATATAAATATAATTTTATTATATTTTATACATAATATATATTATATATCTAAAATTTAATACATTTTCTTACCTTATATTTTTTTATTTTTCTATTAATAGCTTATGATTTGCTTAAAAAAATGTTATAAAATGATCCCAAATAACGTATTACTGCTAAAAAAGCATTATCCCATCCTTTCTTTTTAGAAACAGTAAAATTATTATAATAATCAGAAGATGATCATAATAATTTATCTGAATATGATAGGATTAAAAAAATTGAAGAGTATATTTAATTTCATTAATAATTTATTTATATAAATACATATATATATATATATATAGTAAGAATAGGCTAAAAAATATAAATTCACCTATGCCATCTCCCTAAATATTACCAACTAAAGGCAAAAAAATAATATAGGATGAATAGGGAGTTTTTAAAATGCCTAATACACCTATAATGACAGGTAGAACAGATGAAGTTTCACATGAAGGATCAGGATTTAACTCACCTAGTATTTAATTAGACTCCAGATAAATCAAAACTATGGGAAAAAGTCCTTAAGTCACTAAGGCAAGTATGTTTTCTCCTAAAATAACTTTTGCAGGTAAAAATGTTACTAAAATGCCTGAATAGATATAAGAATAAATTGAAGAAGAAAAGAAAAATGATGATCCAGGTATTTATTTATCAATTTTTTTAAAAAATATTTTTTTTTTATAGAATAAGCTAAATAAGCTTAATAAATAAAAAATAAACTTAAGAATTTAGGAATTTGATTTTTATTATATAATATTAGTCGAAATAATAATTTTAGATCTTTAAATATAATATTAATTTATATTATATATTCAGATATATATAATTCTCAATATAAATAATATTTAAAATTCCATAATTAATATATAAATATATAAATAAATATATATATATATATATATATATATATATATATATATATATACATATATAATTTTATTCATATATATAATTATATATTTGGCTTATTTATTAACCCCTTATTATATGAAGATGTTTATTTAAAAAAGGTTAAAGCATAAATTATAAAGAATTAAAAAAAAAGAATATTATAAGATTAATCAATATATTTTTTAAGATTCAAGAAAGAGAATCTTTATTTATTACAATAACATGAAATAAAATTTTAAATAGAATTTTATCTTAATAATGATTTTATATTATTATTCTATTCATTATATTAATTTTAGGCCCATAATATCTTAAAGTTTCTTTCATAATTCCTTTTAAATAAAATAATAATACTTGTTAATATAGTTTGTGTGAATTAATGAGTTTTCTATCATATCTTTATATTAATGTTAAATAAAATATCATTAATAAATAATCATAAATCCGTTTTTATAACATAAAAACTAAAAATTCATTTATAATATCATCTAAGGAAAGCAGTTTATTTTTATCTATTTATAATTCTTATTCTTCTTTAAATATTCTTTTGCAATGTTTTTAAGTAATTAACTTAAAAAAAAAAAAAAATAGTTTAATATTTGATCATATAATTTGTATATATATATTATCTTTATATTTATTATAAAAAATAATATATTTATTAAAAATAAAATATTTTATAATTTATAAAATAATAATTTTAAAAAATTATTTATATAATAAAAATAAAATAATTTAATTTTAATTTATAAATAATAACAAAAAATAATTTTATATTAAATATATTTAATAATAACACGATTTTTAAAAACATATAAATATATATATAAATTATTATTATAATATACTTTATATAATAAAATATTATATAGCATTTTATAAATTAAACCTTAAATATATTTTAAAAAAATTAATATATTTATAAAAGATATTTAATTAAAAATAAAATAATATGGGCGGTGTTACAATAGATAAAAATGCAGACCCTTCAACTTATTAAAATAATTCGTCTAGAACAACCGTATTTTCCCTCGTGAATTCTATGGTTGGTGGTACAATGCTTTTATTACCTATTATGTTTAATAATACTGGGTTAATAATATCTGTAATAATAATAATAATAACAGGTGTAATATCATGTAAAGCTAGTGATATATATGTCCTTCATTTAAAAAAAAACGAATTCGATATATAGGATACACTTGGAAGAATAATGGGAAAAAAATGGAAATTATTTTTTATCATAACATCTACTTTTTATATGGTTTTAGTAACTCTTCTTTATTATGTTTTTACTATAGAAATGTTATATGATATGACTACCTTTACTATTTATTAATTAGGAGGTAAAGAAGGAGACTAATATGCAAGTAAAGAATCTAAAGATTATTCGAGATTTTCCATTTAATATATGATTATTATTACTTTTCCTATTTTTTTAGCTCTCCTTTTTTTAAAAAATTTAGGATTTCTCATAAAAATAGCTGAATTGGGTGTTTATGCTATTTATTCTTACGTTATTTTCATTTTCTATATTTTCATTTAAAATATATACAGAGGCACTCTCTAAAATCACATAAAAGATACCAAATTGTTCTCTTTAGACATCGGAAGTTTAGGTGGAACGGCTTCTTTAGCCTTTTAAATCCAAACAAATATCTGCCCTATGATAAAATGTAACCAAAACTAACAAAACAACCGTAGAGATGTAAAAATAACTTACGTCTTAGGCACTTTAATATATTTAATTATTGGAATAATCGGTGGATTTGGCTGTTTAGGAAGAAATGCCTTAACAAAAGATGGAAAAGCGACTATAATAAACGATTATTTTGGCCCTAAAGACTATGAACCTTTAATAGTATAAATTTTATATTTAATTCATTTAGTTTCTATGTATCCTATACTGTTTAATATATGCAGAACTAGAATATATGAAATAATATATGAAAAAAATAACGGAAATCCGCCTTAATATATATTTGTTATCGTAAATATTTGTTTTGTATGTTTATGTGCGGGAATTAAAATGGCTTAAATTAAACCGGATGATTTAGCGAATTTTAATGGTTCGATTTCATGTTTTTTTATTATTTATTTAATCCCTCCTTTAATGCATTTAGCGTGTTATCATGGATCGAATAAATTCCTTGTTTCATTTAAAAATAGCTTACATTTAGGCCAATAACCAAATAATTAATAAGAAACGGAAGGATAAAATTACTTTAAATATTAATCGAATATTAATAATAATATTAAAAATAATACTTCGGATTTTTAAGACGATGTTTAATATATTGAAGATAATGATAAGTCAATTAATATATAAACTAATTTTAGAAAATAATAACCAATTGTATCATGTAATTCGCATACATCAGATATAAGTAGTGTACCGAAATATGCTAGGATTCTTATATATGTAGTTATTATAGTTTTAGGAATTTGTGTTTTTGTTTATGGACTTTATGATTGTTTTAAGAAACTTATTAGATGAGATTTTATATATTTATTTTTTATATATTAAAGTTAACCCAAGCTTTTTTTTCTCTATATATTTTATAAAAATTAAATTAATAAAAAAATTGGATAAATGCTTTATTATTATTTTTTTTATAATAATTTTTCTATGATAAAAAAATACAAAATAAATACAAAAAAAAACATCTAAAAAAGTAATAAATTTTTATTTAAATATACATTAAATTTCTTATATATATAAATATATTTAAAGATATTTTTTTACTTTTATATATATTTTTATTTATAAAATATAAATAGTATAATATATAAAATAAATATATTTATATATATTTTATTTAAATATTATTAATTATATTTAAATAAACAAAAATTTTAATATAAATAAATAATTTAATTTCAAATCTATAAATAATAATAAATTAAAAATGGGCGGAATAACAATAGACAGAAACGCAGATCCTTCAACCTATTAAAATAACACATCTCGAACAACAGTATTTTCGCTTGTAAACTCCATGGTAGGCGGTACTATGCTTTTACTTCCTATAATGTTTATTAATACCGGAATTATAATATCTTCTTTTATTTTAATAATAGCATCTTTAATTTCGTGTAAAGCTACTGATATATACACTCTTCATTTAAAAAAAAACGAATTCGATATATAGGATACACTTGGTAGAATAATGGGAAAAAAATGGAAATTATTTATTATATTAATATCTTCATTTAATTTAATATTAGCTACTCTTCTTTATTATGTTTTTTCTATAGAAATGTTATATGATATGACTACCTTTATTATTTACTAATCAGGAGGTAAAGAAGGAGACTAATATGCAAGTAAAGAATCTAAAGATTATTCGAGATTTTCCATTTAATATATGATTATTATTACTTTTCCTATTTTTTTAGCTCTCCTTTTTTTAAAAAATTTAGGATTTCTCATAAAAATAGCTGAATTGGGTGTTTATGCTATTTATTCTTACGTTATTTTCATTTTCTATATTTTCATTTAAAATATATACAGAGGCACTCTCTAAAATCACATAAAAGATACCAAATTGTTCTCTTTAGACATCGGAAGTTTAGGTGGAACGGCTTCTTTAGCCTTTTAAATCCAAACTAACTTCTGTCCTGTGATAAAATGTAACTAAAACTAACAAAACAACCGTAGAGATGTAAAAATAACTTACGTCTTAGGCACTTTAATATATTTAATTATTGGAATAATCGGTGGATTTGGCTGTTTAGGAAGAAATGCCTTAACAAAAGATGGAAAAGCGACTATAATAAACGATTATTTTGGCCCTAAAGACTATGAACCTTTAATAATATAAATTTTATATTTAATCCATTTAGTGTCTATGTATCCTATAATGTTTAATATATGCAGAACTAGAATATACGAAATAATATTTTTAAAAAATAACGGAAATCCTCCTTAATATATATTTGTTATCGTTAATGTTTGCTTTGTAGCTCTATGTGCGGGAATCAAAATGGCTTAAATTAAACCGGATGATTTAGCGAATTTTAATGGTTCGGTTTCATGTTTCTTTATTATTTATTTAATCCCTCCTTTAATGCATTTAGCGTGTTATCATGGATCGAATAAATTCCTTGTTTCAATTAGATAGACACTACATGTCAAGCCAAAAAATGAAAGTGAATAAAGTTTTTGTATATAATAACTAGAAGATTAAAAAGATAAATAATTCATATCTAATGATGATTCTGAATTATATGATGATGTTGAATATTATACTAAGTCTATTAATATATAAAATAATATAAGAAATTAAAAAGTAGGAATCTCATGTAATTCCCATACTTAAGATGTTAAAAGTTTACCAAAATCCATTAGAATTATTATTTATTCAATATGTATAAGTATAGGATTTGCTGTATTTGTTTATGGTTTATATGATTGCTTTAAAAAACTAATTAAAAGATGAATCAATAAAATAAATATATTATAATATAATAATAAATAAATTTTAATACAAAATAAACGATATTTTTAAAATATATATATTAAATATATTATTTTTCATTATTAAATATTATTTTATTATTAGTTTTAAGCAGAATTTACTATTTCGCTATTTTATATAAACTAATATTTTTTAGATGGTGATAGTTGTTCCCCTTTAATAATTTTTATATGACAATTACTGCATTTTTTGCTCAATTATAATTCTTAATAAATATTTATATATAAAATTTTTTAAAAAATAAATAACTATAAATATAATATATATGTATATATCTTTATATCTGATTTTTTATTATTTTACGTAATTCGGATATTTATTTATTTAAAGAAGAAATAAGTTAGTTTTATTCACTTATTACAGAATCCTTACTTAATAAAGCTATATTTAAATTTTTTAATTCGCATTAATCTTCTACGATATACTAGACTTAATTTTTTTTTATATCCAAAAAGTTTTATTTTTAAACTGATATACCCATTTCTTCTATTTGTTATTTATAAAGAAGCACTTATTTTTTATATAATTTTTTTTTTCTTTATAATGTTCTACAAGTTGCTCTTTTTCTAAAATGTTCTACTTTAAACTAATAAATTATTACTAAAATTAACTTTCTGAATCTATTTTTATCTAAAGCAAATTCGAAGATTCTTCTAACAAACCTATTTTTGCTTAACATTCGGATAATTATTTTTTCAGATCTATATTTTATTCGTAATAAGTTTTTATTTTATATTCTAATTCCGCATTATTTTGATTTTAGACCAATATAAGATTCTAAAGTCCGTTTTTTTATTCGACTAAAATATCTATTTTTTGCACAAAGTTTTAAATTTATTTTTCGAGGTTTTCATTTTCTTAAATTTTTAATAAAAGCTTATTTTTTTCCTCATAAATAATATTTTTTTCATTTAAAATTTCTTCTTTTTCCCTTTACAAAATCTTAATTTTCTCCTCCAAATTTTACACAGAATTCACTTTTTCCTTTTATAAAACCTCCGTTTAAATTTCGAAATTTTTCAATTTCTAAATTAAATTTTATACCTCTTTTTCCAAAAAAACCTTCTCCTAAAATACTTCATCTAATTTTTTTTAAACTTCCTCTTTTTTTTCTTTATTTTCAATATATACTTTCTTTGATTTCTTGCTAATTTAAGGTAAAACTATAGCTTTTTCGGTAATAATAGGTTCTCTATTAGAGTTTTATTGCATACTTATAGACTATTAATTCTAAATAATTTGTTAAAACTAAGAATAAACATCATTTTACATCTCTTAGTAACTCTCAATTTAAATTTAGTGTTCATTTTTTAATTATAATAGGCTTTTTTGGTGACTCTCTTTTATATTCTTGACCTATATTTCATAGTTTTATTAATTCTCTTCTATTTTTAATTAACTTAGGGACAATTCGGATTCTAAGTCTTCTATTTTTAACTTCAATAAATTAATTTCAGAAATGAATTATTGTTTTTCGAATAAAAAATTATTATTAATATTCTAAATTTCATTGTTATTATTTTCTTATTTTTAAAAAATCTAATCATTTTCTTAAATTAACGCCTATTCATTCATTTTAAATTTATATTTAGGATTTTAAGTGGATTAATAATTCCTATATTATGAGTTTTTTTATTATTCGCAATTTTAGACATTATTACAAGATGTACAATATGGTTGATTATGGACTCCGCAACATACATTTTCGTATATAATATATTTTCGAGGATTTTCTTAAGTTATTATTTTTGATAAGCTTTATTTGTACTAATGTATGTGCACTATTATTATATATATATATATATATATATATATATATTTATATATTTTTATAATTAGTTTTTATATATATTTGATACTTTTTTCTTAGTTTTTTAGATTCATTTATTAATGGCTTTATGAATATATATTAGTTTAATTGTTCGTGTTATTTAAATTTTAAAGAATTTGTTAATTATTTTAATTTTTAGGAACTTAATATTGTTGGGTTGTCATATTTTTTTGATTATATAACTTATTTTTAGAAATTAATAATATAAATAATTCTATATAATTTAAAAAATAATTAAAATATAAATTAGTAAAATATATAATTGTTAAATATGAAAATATTTTTTTTATTGACAATTTTTTTTATATTTTTAATTCATTGGAAACTATTTAACTATTAATTAAGTTAGATTTCAGTTTTTATTAATTTTATAGTCTCCTTTGAAAGAATATTTTCTAAATATTTAATTGCCTATAAAGGATTTAATTAATCATAAATATCACTTTGATTTTTAAGAAAATCTTAATTGTTTCCTTAACCAATATTACATTAGACTAAATTTTATTATTTTTAGCTAAAATCATTAGATAAAAATGGATTTATATATAAAGATTGTTAAAACTATTATAATTATTATTATTATTATAAAAGTTGTAATTCATCTTATTTTTATAATTAATTATATAATTATTATTAATCATGCTTTTATATTTAATTATATAATTAAGAATCTTATTTTTATAATTAACTTTATAATTGTTAGTCTTATTTTGATAATTATGTAATAATTGTTTATTATTAGTCATACTTTTACAATTTATTATTATATAATTATTATTCTTATTTTGATAATTGATTGAATAATTATTAGTCATTTTTTTAGATTTAATTATATATTTCCTATTTTTTATCTTATTTTTAAATTTAACAGTATAATTATTAATCCTATTTTTATAATTAATTAAATATCTGATAATCTTATTATTTTTAAATATTATTATTATTATTATTATTATTATTATTATTATTATTATTATTATTATTATTATTATTCGTTTTATTATAATTAACTGCAAATATATTATTATTAATCATTTTCTAAAATTTTACAGGATAATACAAATTCTCAATATTTAATTTTCTAATATGTTTTGATTATTATTTGAATTTATTAAGCTTTTATCAATATTAATTAATTACTATTATTATTAAAGAATATAATTACTTATATCATTTTTAGTTTATTATTTAAGTTAATTTAAAAGCATACTACTATTATTATTTCCTAAAAAGAATTGATTTTATTATTATTATTAATTATTAAGATTTATATTTTCTTAATTATTATCAAATAAACTATCGAAATTTATTAAAGTCTCTACATTATTATTAATATTTTTATTTAAATTTTCATCGAAATTATTATTTCCTAAACTTGTAATTGTTGATTTATTTGATATATTAGTACCCATAATCTAAACATTTTTTTAAATGTCTTCAAATAAACTTAATGTACGTATGTTATTATTATTATAATTAATATTTTTTTTACAAGGCGAGCTAAAATTAGCATCTTATAGCAATTTATATGTCTTAATATCCCCTTATTATACAGTTTATGCTTAAAAATTTTTTTTTTTTGTCATATTCTCTATTTATATCTTTACTTTTTCCCTATAGACCCTCTTAATATGGGAATGGAATCTGTTTTTCACCATATTCTCGCTTCTACCTTCCAAAATTTAGGAAATAGCTGACCATTTAGGTCCACTTTCATTATAAATTTCTAGAATTTTAAGATCTTCTTCAATAGTCCACTTTTTATCTTTCTATATATTTGGATTGAGAATATTTTTATATCTTTCTCTAATTTACTTTCCATTTTTATTAATAAAACTCTTAGAGATAAGTTTCCAATTTTCTCCATTTTCAAAGACTAGTTTTTTTATTAAATTATCCTCTTCTTTAGTCCACTAGTATCTTTTTTTAGTATTAGAAAGTCTCCTATATCTCTAAGAACACTAAGAAATATTCCTATTGGGGATATATTTAACGATTTCTTCCCAATTCCCATTAAAATGAAAATACATTTTTTTTAATAAATCATCTTCTTCTTAACTCCAGACTTTTATTATTCTTTTCCTTTTTTTTTAATTTATTTAAGATTTTTTTAATAGTAATTCTTATTCTTAATCATATTAATTATTTGTATATTATATTAAAACTTTTGGACATGTTTCTAAAAAATTTTCATATCCATTTTGGAAATCTAGAGTATGTTTATATAAAGGTTCTATATTTTCCATTTGTTTATTATTTCTTTTTATTTAAAATATAAATAAATATTCCTTATAATTAAATTTAATTAAATTATAATTATATAAAAAAAGTAATAAACAATTAAATTTTGTAT